TGACACCCCTCGAATTTTTGTGTAAAATTCACTTACCCACGTGGTTACAGAGCACTATTTTTAATCACAGCTGATACTAGTTCATGATGAAATCTCTGATCCTAAAGCATTAATCCTAAGCCTAATTAAGAACAATGTATGGAAGTTAGAATCCAGTCTGGACTATATTGTAGGCTAGAGAAGTTTGATAATCAATATTGATTTAGCCGAAGTTATTTATCGTTGATTTTTTTGTTATGCAGACAGATAAACTTTTCGAAACTTTCGAATAAAATTCATTAATTATGCTAAATCTGTTCATAGTTTGTAATCAGATTGTTTTATTACTCATTAACAATTCATACACGTAAACTATTTCCTGACTAACTAACAATTGGTTGAAACTTGAGTGCACTTATTTTAAACTTATCTCTAATTTTATTGATGCTGTCAACAATTAAAACAGATGGGTATATTCTTTCTGTTAAATATAAAATAATTTTTTTATTTAGTCATATTAATAAGTGTTTTCTTAGAGTTTTTATCAATTTCAAATGTTACAGGATGTGTACAAGTTTATCAAAATAAATTCTCGATATGACACTTGTGAAATATCTACACAATAAATTGTTCTAATTCTGTCAAATAATTTGCTAAAAACATCAGCTAAACTAAATGAAAGAGAGAAATAATTCACTGAACCAATGTGAAACATAACAAGTGACTGATATAATTGGTGTAGCGTTTACATCATAACTTACACCTAATAAAATTATAAATTGACAAGAATTATAATCAACACTTTTATTAACTTACAAGTTTTAAACTGATGGATATCATAATAATGAACTGTTAATGAGGTGAATTTAGTGTAATTTTTATAAATACACTGAGTACTTGGAAGTTATTGTCAATAAACAGTCAGTGTTAAATGCAGTTTATAGTTCACGTTAATCGATTTATTTGAATGACGACAAATCAAAATTGATCGACAGATTATTGATAAACTTTAATAGCATACCACACGATTTGATTAACATATAATCCCATTAATTAAAGAATTAAAGTCTGAAGACGTAAACAATTGAGGGGAAACAGAGGATATGGTATATAGTCTAGACTTCGCAGATGATCTGGCTCCTATATCTCATTCACAACAACAAATGCAAGAGAAGACGATCAGTGTAGTAGCAGCTACAGCAGAACCAGGTCTCAACATACACAAAAGGAAAAGTAGGATTCTCCCATACAACACAACATGCACCAACCAAATCACACTTGATAAAGATGCCTTGGAGCATGTAAACACCGGTGCATAACTGGGTAACGTCATTGATGAACACAGTGGATCCGGTGCAGATGTAAAGGCGCGGATCAGCAAAGCAAGGGCAACATTTCTACTTCTGAACAACATCTGGAACTGCAAACGAATATCAGTCAACACCAGAGTCACAGATTTCAATACAAATGTCAAGACAGTTCTACTGTATCGGTGGAAACTTGGGAAACTAACAAAGCCATCATTCAGAAGATACAAGTGTTTAACAACAGTTATTTATGCTAAATACTTCAGATCCGTTGGTCAGACACCATCAGCAACAACCTACTGTGGGAGAGAACAAACCAGATTCCAGTGGAGCAAGAAATCACGAAGAAGCGCTAGAAGTTGGTAGGATACACACGGAGGAAAGCACCGACTAGAAAAGCCCTCAAATGTAACCGCCAGGTTCAAAGGGAGAGAGGAATGCCAAGGAACACATTAGGCCGAGAATTGGGGACAGACGTGGGAAGAATGAACGAGAATTGGACGGAATCGGAAAGTGAGGCTCAGGATGGAGTAGGTTGGATAATGCTGGTCGACGGCCTATGCTTCAATAGGTATAACAGGAGTAAGTAAGTAAATAAATAAAGTTTGATCGATCCCAGACACTATGTAACGTTTAATAGCTGGTTATACAACTGAATAAGAAAGATCTATTAACATTACTTTTTACGATAACACTGGATAACATATTTTGTGGTATTTAAAACTCATGTGATGCTAAGCTTACCATTATTTATTTGTAAAACTGATGAATCCAACTTTAATAGTTAATCTAATTTAATTTCTAATTTCAGAATAATAACTGTAGATTATGATAAGGAAGTTATCAATTCTTCATTCTAATATTCATTGTTTTTGATTATTTTATGAGGCGAACTCAGTTTCACTAAAATCATTTAATCAATAACTCAAATATTATACTGCAAACTTCACAAAAAAACTATATTTAATTTTTAGCGGAGATGGATAGTGGCTAGCAGTGGAATCCAGGACATGCATTTCGTCTAGTTTGCGACTAGTCACTCGGCTTTACCAGCATCTCAAAGTTGGTTTTCGATCTCGGAACTTGAACCCTTACCTTACGCTTCGCGTAATCCACGTAAGTATATCCGAACGACTAGTCTCAAATTGGAGGAAACGCGTCTCCTAGATTCCACTGCTAGCCACCATCCGTCTCTGGTAATAATGGTTGTAACATGGAAGCAGTATCGAGTCAATCCGCTCAGGAAGCACACATGCCAAAGAGGCTGATCAATTGCAGTCTTAAACATCAATGGGAATATTCAAACAAGCAATACAAATGAATTCTATTTGATTTTACCTGTTGCCTATAGTTGGTCTCAGCAGCATTGAGAAAGAGGATTCTGATTCTTTTTATTTTACTGTAAACTTGCATAAATCCGAATCGATAAAGTTATCTGGAAAAATGGAATTAATTATATTCTTTTAAAATCATGAATCGATCAATTTTAGACTACCATTAGAAACCTAGAAGCGCTGGAGGGCCGTTTCGTTCTGGTATGCTACTCATCAGCAGTGTGCATCCACCTGACTTATTGACTAAAGCTTGCTACCCCTTTTACAGCATAGGCTACCAACCAAGGTTTCTGCTCAATATTTCTTTTTAGCAAGAATATCATAAGTTGAAGTTAGTAAGTTGTCTTCCAATTGTACAGTTTCCAGCTTCCTTAAGACTGGCAGTAACCTGAGAAGGGTTCCAGGACGATTTACTACTAGAGTTACATGCAAAGGAATTTTACTGAATCTTTTTTTATGAGTGTATAGATTTGTGAAGATATTATTATTATTATCGCACTTTGTTTTTTATTCCTTATTTCCTCGAATCCTTATTCAATAAAGTTAGAGTTTATGTTTGATATTTATTGTTTTTTGTTTTAACTCTGTGAACCTGCCAGCTGAGAAAGTTTTAGTGAATTTTATACATACAAACATATATATATATATATATATATATATATATATATATATATATTTCAATAAATAACATTTTAATTAAGCAATCAACTATTTGTCAATTTTTAACACGTATATTAAGTTAGAAAGGTCATTATTATATTTTGTCTAGCTGTAAAATAAAACAATACTTTGAATAGGTCACTCATTATTATTTAACTGTTTATAGATGTTTACGTGTGAATAAATGAAGTTAACTTATTGATTTTTTTGTTCAACATATAAAATTTAAATAGTCTATCATTTAATTCATTATAAATTTACGATTGCGTTGAATTCACGGTGGAGTATATAAATCATCTTCTAGAAATCGAAACTCTTAGTTAACCTTCAAGGTACCAAAATGACAGTTATCCCTTATAGTCGAATTTTAAAAAAACTTTTTTGTAAGAGTTTTTTTCATTGTAATGTTTAGTTCAAAGACAATCATCACAGATTAGTGATTATTTGACTAAATTAATACAAAAAAGGAAATCACTGCAATGATTTGTTGTATTCATATACAATTTCAAATCAGTAACAGTATAAGTTATGCCAAAGTTAAAAATACTTATTATAGTGAACAATTTCTTGCAGATTATCTTCAAATATGAAATACTGAAATTGAAAGTTATCACTATAAGATTATCAGTAATCAAATATTACAAAAGAGGTCATATTATACAAATTAGGTTATTATCTAATTGTGTAGCGTGGGCTCTAGCTTCATAGACTTAAATAGAACAGAGTTATAAATTAATACTTATTGACCGATAGTTATGGCCGTTACATTTCCACAAAAGTTAATACTTCTACATTTCATTATAATGAAGATTATTCGTCTTACATTATCGAGAAATAATTGAGCATAACACCATTGAGTTTCTTTGAACTGGAATTCTGTTGGAACAAAGTTATATTTGACGATTGATTTATCTTCAATTTATAAATGATAATTTTATTCTTTGCCTGTTATTTGTTCAGTTTATTGATGCATCTTAATTTTTCTAATAAATAATATTAAACAAGAGAATTGAATTATGTCTAAATTACTATTAACTGCTATATCAATGAAATAAATAGTCGCACAAGATAGTTGAATGATTTTTCACAAACAAGACTCATGTAATGCTATAGATTCAATAGTATTTGGGGCTATTGTACAGGCTCAGTTAATGAATTTTTGTACCACATTTTTGTATTAATACCACAACTAAAGGTTCCCATACCTTGTTCACTAAATCCTTTTCCCAATATATATATACATATATATATATTATATATATATATATATATATATATATATATATATATATATATATATGACAGACTGAATCGCCATCCTGTATTAGTAAACCTCAGCCTATTAGTTCCCACGATTTGTGTGAAAATAGATATTTTGGTTCGACAGTATGTTTTTTCGACAAAGGATGTATTTATGCACATACATGATTATAGCTGATATGCACATCAATAAGGTGCTTGAACAACAGAGGTACACCTTTTGTATATACATTTATTTGTACACTAACATAAACACACCTACAAATGAAATTAATGAACATAGATACAGATGTGGTTGTGATACCGTAACTACTGTAAATTAGTAGACAAGACAATGATATTTCAGTAAAAATATTAAGATACTGCTGTATGGTTGGATTACATTTCTTTAGCTTAATCTATAACAATTACAAGTATGAAAACGAATTAGTAAAACTATATCATTCAATCGGTTAAACAACTAAGATTTAACAACTGAATATGATGAATAATAATAAAATGTAAACAACAAATATAGTTGAATAACTTCATTGTGTATACGAATGAATATTAAATTATGGATTAATTTCAAGCCTATTCATCTATATTCAGTAAATAATTATCCACTATAGGATCAATAGTCTTGAAGAATATCATGTGTGGAGAATTTCCATTCAAGTAAGCTGCAACTCATAAACTTTATAGGTTTTTTACCCCGAAAAATTATTGACTGATATTTTCATCTGAGTAATGTTTATTTTTTGCAAAATTATTAGATCTAGTTATAAGTTTGAATAGATTAGACTGGTTCATATTTTAAGTTGGTCATTTAATTGCTTGTAGAAAGTGAAAATTAAAAAAGTGTACATTGTATTATGTATTATTAGGCGTTAGTTAATTCAGTCCATTTTTCGAATTGCGATACATGTACGATAGTACAATATTTTTGGGCATTTTCCTGTTTGTTTGGTGGATATGCGCTGAATATGCTTACATTTTTTTTACTGAAGGTTTCGTTTCAAACCCTAGCTCTCACTTTATTTGCGCTTTGCATGAGACAGGTTGGGATGCATATTATGCTAACATGTTCACGGAAGGCGGATGCTAGTAACTTCAGATACCTGTGATGAAATTCCTGGTGAAAATTGCATTCTTATATACAGCACTCACTCATTAAATTAAGGAAAAATTACTGGATACAACATACTTGTTGAAGAGTGGAAAACAGGTGGATAAACTGATACTATTATGAGTTAATGACAATTTCAATTCAGCATCTTTCACAAGTAAACAAATTTTTATAACAGAACCGTATCTCCTAACAAAATTCTAACTCAATCTTGTTTCCTAATTTTTGATCGATTTATAAATTAGTCATATTTATTTAATAAAAGGAATTTACACATGTTTGTGATTAATTGGAATGGGCTTCATACTATCCTTGAACGGGTTTCAGCATGATTTAAAAAATAACTTGCTCCCAAGCCATTCCAGACATACCGCGATTTGAGTAAACTAAAATTCAGATACAATTATCGTAATGGTACTTGAAATCTAGGACAAAATTAGAAATGCTGAAATGACGCATTCGTATCGCTACATAAGATTATCTTAACTATATCTCAACCATGGTTGGCTAACTGTTTGACCTTGCAATTAAGAACCACATGTTATTGATTAATGAGTTGGTGGGAAGCTTATACCTGATATTTGACACAGTACGACACAGCCACTAATGCCATACAATTCACATGACTGGACAATTTATATTTGCCTAATTGAAATAATCTCTTGACTCAAACAATCGTTTGTGTGAAGGGCTGCAAAGATGAAGCACACTGAAAGCGCACCACTTCATACGAAGCTGCTTACTTAGAGTTTGTGTGGTATAACTTGCTTCCCGCAGGTGAGTTTACATTTTAATGTGGTTCGAATAATGTGTTGGAATATTTAAATTTGTAATACTACCTGAAATTGTAACCGCTAAATTTGTAATTTCAAATCTGACTTACAATCAGGTTAAGTCCACGTCTCTCGACAAATTGTTCCAGTAAATATGACTAATACAATATGGAATAGACGATAAGAAACAACTAATAAAATACACCACTGGTTCAACTAAGTTGGACTCAAGAATAATTAGTTGGTGTATTTATTTTGAGTTATTAAAATTAATGAGCACTGGATTTGTGGGTTGTCTAAGCCTATGCTTAGGTGCAATATAAAACCAGCAGAGCTAATTGACATGGTACCTTTGAATATTTACTTTTGCTAATTAATGTTGTATTTATGTGTACCATTTCCCGACCGTAGCTGCTACCTTGACGTGGTGGTCGGGCTTGCCTATCCTGATGACCCAACTGAGCTATACTGGCTGGAACTTATGTTCCTGAAAGTTCTACCACGCCAGGCAGGTCGATTGGAGAACGATGAGACTAAAAGCAGCTACCCAAGGTCTGAGGGCGAAGTCGTACTGCTGACTGCAGAGGGGTGTGACAGCAGTAAGTTGTTTCCTTCGGACAACCAGCATCTGCAGCGATGCCGCCTTCTCACAAGGAAGGGAGGGTTAGAAAAGGTCGACCCTAAAAACGTCACACCTCACTCTTCCTCACGGATATCCGTCTCCGTCGGTAAGGGTGGCCACTAAAAGCCTTTAAAAGCGGAGCTAATGCTCAAAAACCATTCATAAGAAGGCCGTGCGTGACCGGCCTCACGGCCCCAGGTCTCCGAGACCAACACTAATCTATCATCCGTTTCAGGTACCTCAAGAAACAACCTTCCACGGTGTGGGCAGCCAGCAATTGACAACCGCCCTCATACCCGTAACAGCACGCGATACCGAATCGGTCAAAATAAAATCCTTCCTACACCCCCTAATACCTCTCTTCTACCCACGACTATCTCTTCTCACATTCCTTCATCACAGTCCACTGCTAATGCAAACGATGAGAGTTCACGGAACGTCATTTCTGGTCTCCTGAAACCCCGCTCTAGACCACATGTTGGAGCATTTAATGTACGGACATTGTGTCGAATAGGGCAACAGGCTTCCTTAGCTAGGACTTTAGAATCTCTCTCAACCGATGTGTGCTGTAGTGCCTCCACATATATTTCACTTCTCTCACATCTAACTTGGTTAAGCCCTTTCGATTAATTTATTTAACCAAGCCATTTGTATTGCAACAACTTGTATGTACCATTGGTATTTAAGAGATTAATATTAAAGCGAATAGGATGCATATGTGCGTAGGCGTTAAGCAATGCTCAGTCATACTAGCTCATACAAACCAGATAATAAAAAATACCAATGGTACATACAAGTTGTTGCAATACAAATGGCTTGGTTAAATAAATTAATCGAAAGGGCTTAACCAAGTTAGATGTGAGAGAAGTGAAATATATGTGGAGGCACTACAGTGCTGCGTCTCGGAAACGCGCATACACAGGATCCGAGTAGCATCATTCACTTGACCTCACCATGTCAAGATAAAGAAGCAACTCGATTTACCCTTCGTGTATCCGGTAGCCCTGATGCTGTTTCGCGGGGTCTCGCTGGTGTTGGTATAGCATTGAGTCGTAGGGCAGAACTAGCGCTCCTAGACTGGATCCATGTAGATAGTCGCTTGTGCGCTGTCCGACTAAACGGGACAGTAAGGACTCGGAAAGATAGGGACACTCGTCGTTGCCTCTTCGTCATATGAGGTTAAAGATGAGTTTTACACAAAGCTTTCGGACCTCCTCCAAAAAGCTAGGCGCTCTGATATAGTAATAATGGCTGGTGACTTTGATGCTCAAGTAGGTAGACAAAGTGAAAATGAAAGACACCTAGGTGGATGTTATGGTGTAGCGACTGAGAGAACAGACAATGGTGACCGTCTGTTGCAACTGTGCTCAGACAACCTCCTATTCTTATCAAACACTAACTTTAGGCATAAGGAAAAGCATCTTTTGACCTGGCGACCTCCAAAGCCGTCTCAACGTTGTACCCAACTAGATCACATTGCCATCAGCCACCGATGGAGGGGTTCGATAGAAGACTGTCGCTCGTTCTGGGGCACATGTTTAGATTCAGATCGTGCCGTAGTGCGAGCGCGTATTTGTTTGCAGCTTACTGGACGTAGGAAAGACACCGTAAGGAAGCCTCTTAGGGCTTTACTTAATGATAATCAAGCTAAGAAAATATTTCAGGAGGAACCAGGAAAACAGTTAGGCGACCACGCAAGCGATTCCCATCCGGAGGCAGGTTGGAATGATATCCTCCTGGACCTGAAAGCGGCATTTGACTCAGTGGATCGTGAGGTTCTGTGGCAGTGCCTGTCATTGAAAGGTGTACCAAAGAAGTACATTGACCTCATACAAACTCTCTACTCGAACACCACTGGTCGAGTGAGAGCTTATGGCGAACTGTCACCGGAATTCTTCACTTCAAGTGGTGTCCGTCAGGGATGTCCACTTTCTCCATTCTTGTTTAATTTTATCATATACATGCTCCTAGAAATAACCTTATCCTCATCTGAATTTTCAGCAGTAGACCTTTTACCTGGTGTCTCGCTTGCTGACTTAGAATATGCCGCTGACAGTCCTACTTGGTGAAGACACTGACAAAATGCAGAGTCTTCTGACTACCCTAAGCAACAATGCAAGCATTTTCGGGATGAGGTTTTCCCCCTCGAAACGCAAAATGTTGTTTCAAGACTGGGTTTCATCGACACCTGAACTAGTGACAGTGAGTGAAGTAGTCGAACGTGTAGACCGCTTCACTTATCTGGGGAGTCTCATCAGCGCTGATGTCCTGGTGACTGACGAAATCTCAATACGGATACAGAAAGCTCGATTGGCTTTTGCCAACCTGTGTCACTTATAGCGTAGGCGAGATATCCGTTTTCTGACTAAAGTACGAGTGTACTGCGCAGTAGTTCGCTCCGTCTTACTTTATGGCTGTGAAACATGGCCAATGAGAGTAGAAGATACTCGTCGGTTATTGGTTTTCGATCATAGGTGTCTTCGAAGCATTGCTCGAGTATCGTGGGACACCCGAGTGAGCAACGCTGTTATTAGGAAACGGGTACTAGGTAAGAATAGCAGATCAATAGATGAAGTGGTGAAACTTCATCAGTTGAGGTGGTTTGGACATGTGCTGCGTATGCCTAACCACCGACTGCCTCGAAGAGCTTTGTTTTGTAGTGTAGGAGTAGGTTGGAAGAAAGTTAGGAGCGGCCAAACCAAAACATGGCAGAAATCCATGAAATCATTGACGAGTGGACTTAGCCATGTCGGTAATTGTCGACTACGTGGTTGGGGTCCGCGAGATGATAATAATCGATGGTTAGAGACCTTGAATGACATGGCTCAAAATGGTTCGCAATGGCGCCAGTGCATTTATTCTTTGTGTTCTCTCAAATCCTAATCTTCTGGATTCTTCAACAACTCTAGTTTTGACTTACTAAAATTTTCTCACTGCATTATACTTCTTGAATAATATCTTCTAATTCTAACCTCTCCGATTTCTTCTAATACCCTTACTACCTCTTCGACTATTGGATTTCTTTTGTCAATTGCATCTCTGTGCTGATGTGGTATGGCGACATGAACTGATGTACTTATGTACGAAGTTCTACGTTGCATCTGACTGACTGACATATGTATACCATTTAGTCCAAAAATTCGTCGTTCATCTC